CATGCAGACATGCAGACATGCATACATGCATACATGCATACATGCATACATGCATACATACATACATACATACATACATACATACATACATACATACATGCAGGTATAGATCTAGATACAGATATAGCTAAATACACACATACGGGTACTGACATGCTGAAAGCACCACATCCGGTGCCAATTCCGGCAGTCTGCGCCGTTGAGGGCCTAGGATTCTGCATCGCATCCTTTTAATGGCACCCTCCGGATTGACAGCCAACTTCTACGTAAAATCCGACGGGGCGCAACCACAATTCAATACACGAAGAAACCCTACCCTAAACCCTAAACCCTAAACCCTAAAACCTAAACCCCATACCTTAAACCCCCTTATACCCTGAAGCCCAAACTCGAAGCTCGAAGAGCTCGGCCCCAAACCCCAATGGCCCCGACGCACATTCAGCCTTCAGCTTCGAACAGAGGTCATCGACCTGTTTTGGCTTGAGGGTTTAGGGTATAAGTTTTAGGGGTTTAGGGTCTAGGGTATAGGGTTTAGGGTATAGGGTTTAGGGTTCAGGGCTCCAGGTAAAGTCGTCGATCTCTTCGGGGTTACGGTTTGACGGTTTGAAAACTTGCACGAACACTGCGAATGAAGGCTGCAGTGCAGTTTTTTCACAGACTGCAGTTTTCCCAACTTTGGCGTCTTTGCGGTTGTGGGGCTTCAGGGACTTTGCTTATCCAGCAGTGGCATTCGCCCTCATGCCTCAACCAACCCCAAACCCCAGACACTACAACCCTCATCCCCAAATCCTAACCCATGGACAACCCTTTCATTGGGTGCTCTTGCGTCCTCAGCTGACGAAGTCTCAAGCATCGAACTATCGAACACATCACGTACTGAGAATACGAGACACAAGAGCAACCACCATCCACAAAAAGTAGATGGATATACCTGATTGCAGACAGACAGACAGACAGGCAGACAGCCAGGCAGACAGAGAGACAGAGAGACAGACAGAGAGCCAAACAGACAGGCAGACAGACGGACAGACGGACAGACAGACAGACAAACACACAGACACACACCCACACCCACACCCACACCCACACCCACACCCACACCCACACCCACACCCACACCCACACCCACACCCACACCCACACCCACACCCACACCCACACCCGCGCCCGCACGCACGCAATGCCATTCTGGAGTCTGAGAGAATGGAAATCTGACAAGACTGCGAGCTGCAAACAACAGAAGTAGCAGATCCTGCCCTCCGAGACTCAATCGTTCGAGCATCTCTGATTCCAGAAAACACGTGAAACACAGGGCGACCTCATACGCAGTGCTTATAATTACAAATTACAACATAAGAACCCCGGGACTCCAAACTCCGCAACGGTGAAAGTATGTCTACATTGCATTGCACGCCGGAGCCTGGATCAGAGCCGCCTTCAGCCACTCTTCTAAGCGAGACCGACGCTCCTGCAGAGGCCCCAGCCAGGGTGTCATCACGGGTCGCTACAGAAAAGGCTCAAAACGGCGCACATCGCAACAATGACAGTGATGTCGAGGATCGCCAGCACCAGAACAGCATGATTTTGATGACGGTTGTCATGTTATGTCCATGTTCGATAAACACACTCGTACACCAGCAGCAGCAGCAGCAGCAGCAGCAGCAGCAGCAGCAGCAGCAGCAGCAGCAGCAGCAGCCCCAGCACCAGCACCAGCACCGGCACCGGCACCGGCACCGGCACCGGCACCGCCACCACCGTTGCCAGCAGCATCACCAACAGGTTGTCGTCATCACCTGTCATCAATCACCCATCAACAGTACCGATTTGCTGTCTTGTCTTGCGATAGCTGTCGCAATTCGTGCCAGGTCATCCTGTACAGGGGCCATAGGTTGGAGGTGATTAGCGTGAGCGTGTGGACAGAATGCCAAGACACCACGTGAGCATGACAGCCGCCTGAAGGATTGTCAAGCCTATATGGGGGGGGGATTTCGTGCTACGGTGCGGAAGCTTAAGCCCATCACATTGACGACCATCAAAGGCAATCACGAAGTTGCTTGTGTGGGCTTGTCTCCTCGGAGCAGCTAGAGTCAGCCAAAGCAATCGCTTGGCCGAAGCACGACACTAAAACTTTACATGAACCTGGTCTACTGGCTCGACACAGGCAGTGCAGTACGCTACGAGGCCTCCCAACTCAGAGCCCTCATACTTGTCTAAGCCTCTTGCATGTCATTCGATTCAACTAATGAAATACGTCAAGAGAAGCGATGAGAACAAGTTTCTACCTGTAGTCTCCATTGTAGTTCCTTTTGTGGGATACCTTATAAGCTCCTTAAAATATAATGGAGACTATAGGCACGACAGCTTCTGTCGTGATGGGGTCGGCAACATGCTCCAGCCTGGAGCTCTTCACGGCTGGGCGTGTGCCAAATCTTTGTTGGGAAGCTTCTAGTTGCGCCGGCAAAGACCTGCGAAAGGGCCCAACAGCCACCCAAAGACCCTAATGCCTGCAGTTTTTAGGGTTTGGAGGACTTGGGAGCAGAAAGTAGCTCATGAATCTTTGGTCGTTGCAGGAAGCTCCCCACCACCCCAACGGAGCTTAAGTAAGGTCTGAATCCAACGAACAGAATGGAAGTGTCTCCCTTTCTCTCTCGCTCTTTCTCTCCCTCTCTCTCTCTTTATGCAAGTCTTTGTTTTGGATTTCCACAGGTTGCCTACAGTGAAATTGAGGCTTCCGCTTCTTCGATCAGAAACAACGCCTCCGGCCAAAAGCCCCTACAAGTTCTACAAGCTCAAGTTAGAGTCTGCCAGCTGTGGTGCTCGGAAGCCCTCGCGACTTAACTTTCCTGACACAAGGCCCATGGGCCGGTCACACATCCGTCTTCGGAGGAGCTTGACCGGAAACCCCTTCAAGGCTTTTGTACTTTCGCCGCCGCGAGGTATTGAGATGTTCATGTTCAGCCACTTTGGCCCTGAACTCCATCCACACCTTGCTAATCGCAAACCCCATTTTGTTGAACCCGGAGCTCTATCCAATCAATCGTAAACCCCATGAAACGTAAACCCTGAACCTTTGGAGATGAGTTGCGGCTGAGATGGCAGGATCTTTGGCCTCGGCATCTCGACTACTACTACTACTGCTACTACTCCTACTACTCCTACTACTACTGCTGCT